TATATATATATATATATATATATTATTTTTATTATTATTACTAAGTTATGGACTAATTATATGATTTAATACTTTTTGATGCCAAATGAAGGCCAGAGATTAACATAAAGCCATGGGACAAACTGTCCGGAGAGCTCAAAGAAGCCAATGAGAAGGTGAAGTGGATGGATAGGGAGCCCTATGCCTACTGGAAGGGAAATCCGGCCGTGGCCGCCACTCGTCGGGACCTTCTCCGCTGCAACGACTCTCTATCTAATGCTCGTCTTTACGCCCAGGTCTCGAGTGAATATAGCATATAGAGTCCGGATATATGCGGACAACATGTACAATTTTTTCGTATAATGTCGTATAACATATACATACAACAATGTACAATATTGTTGTACACGAAGTTCGGATATATACGCACTTTGATCTTGAATTATTGGACTTTTTCTCTACAGGATTGGCTAAGTGAGACTCATAAAGGGTTCAAGGAATCCGACTTGTCAGGTCAATGCACCCACAGGTAATGCTTTACATAAGTACCACCCAATTCTTATGTATTTACAAATATATTGCCTTTGTAAAAGTGAATATACCTTTTTTTCTGAATAGCTTTCTAACACTGAAGGGCTATAAACCTAAATATCAAATTTGAGGTGCTAGATTTGTAAAAAAGTATCAATTGTGTGATATATGTTAATTATTCGTGGGTATATATGTAAAGGTACAAAATATATATAGAGGGGACTGCATGGTCGGTGAGCGAGAAGTACATATTAGCATGCAATTCCATGACGTTGATCGTGAAGCCCAAGTATTATGATTTCTTCACGAGAGGGCTGATGCCTGTGCAGCACTATTGGCCTATTCGGGACAGTGATAAGTGCAAATCCATCAAATTTGCAGTTGATTGGGCCAATTCGCACAAAAGAAAGGTACCAAAATTTTACATTTATACCACTCAAATATTTGATATCACATAAGAAATTTTCACTATAGAAGGTGAAATAGTCCTTCTCATGAAAAGTATTTGATTTAAGGGCAATCAAATACAGGCCATACAAAACTTGGTATTTACAAATTACACCCCCGCTTTCATCCAATTTTCAAATTTTCGCGCAAATATCAAAATTCACGGTGTAACCTCAACCCATACTTTTCATTTTTATCAAATTCTTAATAGTTTTATCACGACACATGTAAATCGTCGGTTCGGAAGTTTAAAATAAAACACTTGATGATTAATTTGTAAATATCAATGTTTTTGGTGGCCTGTATGTAATTATCCTTTTTTTTATTATTTTATGGTTAGGCTCAAACTATTGGAAACGAAGGCAGCGACTTCATTCACGAGAAGCTGAAGATGGACCGCGTCTACGATTACATGTTTCACCTCCTCAACGAATACGCAAAACTCCTCAGATATCGGCCCACAAAGCCCATTGGGGCCGTAGAACTGTGCGCCGAAAGCATGGCCTGCCCGGCCCAAAATCTTACGGAACGGTTCATGATGGATTCCATGGTGAAGTCGCCTCAGGGCTCTCCGCCGTGCTCCCTTCCTGCTCCGTTTAGTCCTGTGGAGCTCCGAGTGCTGCAGAGGAGAAAAGCTAATTCCATCAAGCAGGTGGAGATTTGGGAGCAGAGAGCTTGGGAGGCCCAAAATAGCTATAATTAATAATTAATTGGGTTTATGTGATTTGGATTCTCTCTAATTATAATTATGAAGATTTGCATGCATACCACTTGATTCCTGTGTATTTACATATCTAACACTTAAACTTATATATATATATA